ATGGCCAAAAGTCTCATGACATTGTTCGAGAAAATTTTTTAAAAGAGAACGGAATGGTTTGGATGGCCTTCAAGCCATACCTTATATCCTAAATTTATTTTTTTACTGTCAATTTGGAGGGTTGAGAATGGAATAATATGATATAAATAATATTCTTATAAGATTACCCTTATTCTTCTCATCTCCTCTCACCCTTTCACTCCCCCATTATCTTAAAACTCAAAAATATAATTATATCTAATTCAAATCTAATAATTTTATAATTATTCTTAAATAATGATTGAATGAAATCACTAATTATTTTAGTGAAATTCCAAATAATGAAATGTTCCATTCCGTTTCACTCCACCACATTCCATTTCATTAATAACTATTATTTTTTTGTTCAATTATATACTCTCAAATATACCTTTATATCCTGAGGTTTAATTTACAATTCTTTCCTTGAAAGGTAATAACTGGGGAAAAGTTGGCTTTAATTCTCACAATGATGTGCCTTCAAGATCGTTTAATAAGATCAGAACCTTTTTTTCCCCGCATTCAACGGCCAGTCATGATAAATGGGATAAAATAAATGTAAATTGCAGACATGTTGACAATGTTTGATACGTAGAAAATTATTGAAAAGAAAAAGGAAATGCATTGCTTGTAATTGTGGTATGCTGTAGGACAATGTACTACAGTGAACCTGATTAAGACCATAATATCGACATACTGAATCAAAACCAGCCCTCGATTTGGTTTGATTGATACTGCAAAACTGAATAGAAAAAAAAAAAAAAATCAGTCAAAGACTAATAAAACCATTCAACAACCAGTAAAACCAGTTAAAAACCAAACTGTTTTTGTAAAATTCTGAGCCATGAATTGCAAATTTAACAAAATTGAAGCTTAGCCTTTAAACTATCAGACTAAAGTTGATAATTTAGGATCAAACTTAAAAAAAGATATTTTTTCATACTGAATAGGCCCAAAAAATTTAGGCCAAGCCCAAATATTTGAATAAAATACTTATTTTTAAAAAATATATAAAATATAATAAATATTAATTAATTTTTAAGTTTTAGATTATTTTATATCAAAATATCATATATTTGAGTTCTCTACATCGTTTAAGTATAAAAAAATATATTATATTTTTATAAAATAAAATAAGTAATTTTAAAGTAAAAAATTAATTAAAAATAATTTTAAAAATAAAATTCATGTATTCGAACAACATGAAATTCGAAAGAATTTAAGTCGAGTTTGACTATTTAAGTTTTTCAAAAAATCAAGCCTATTCAAATTTGACATTATTTAAGTTGAGCTCAAATAAGCTCAATTTACTTAATTTTCAATTCAGCTCCCACAATTCTTCTAGAATAAGAACGCTGACCTCTCCCTTTTAAAATGGGCCATGTCCATCTGGGACTTCTTGAGCCATCTTAACAACTACTATGTGCACATAATACGCAATTTAATGCATTTTGCTTTATTTTTTCCTTTTAATTTTGGGTATTTTTTTTTGCTCATATTTGAAAGATTTTTAATATAAACACATCTTTTTTATATTTATACTTTTCCATCATTTGTCTATATTTTTTTGTTTAAACTTAATCTTTTTAATTTAACTTAAATATTTTGTTCAAAAAGTATCTAACACTTTATCATTTCATCAACATCTTTCTTAATTTCTAAATAGAAGGCTTTATTCATTATTAATATTAAGCATATATTCATCAATAAAATTATATTTCCAAGAATTTATAATATTTTCTTAAGAAAATACTCCATTCATTAAAAAATATAAGGCATTTTTATCAAATCTTACCTACAATAAAATAATTACCTACTTTAAAACTAACCCTATCTTTTTATATTTATCACTATTAAACACTCTATAATAAATATAAAGTCACTATTAATAGGGATACTTTTAAAAAAATGGCAATTATTACACCTCAAGAGATTAAAAGGTCTTACATTTTTAAATATCTAACTTTTAAAAAATGTTTTAAATTTTTAACGGAGTGAATACATAGTATCATTTATTTCTTATTTGATTATGATATATAAATTAAAAATATATTAACTTAATGTTAATTAATTTGACCAATAAACCGTGAATCTGTGACTAACTCAATTTAATGAGCAGTTTAATTTTTAAAAGCTTACAATGTACTTTCTTATTTTATGTTTAGAAAATATTTATTTCACAGGGCGAACCTCATTTGTGACAAGTAGCCGTGGCATTAACGAAAATTCACCATTACGCATCTATATTTGTTCTCACCTTAAATTAAATCACTTGAGGCTATGAAACAATCTTGAAAGCAAGTTTTGAATCCCTGATTTATTTGTGAAGTATATTATGATAAGATTTTCTTTCCACGTCTATAAATTTAGAAAATATAAAGCCTACAGCAATAACGCAAACAAATTAATTTATTGCAAAAAAAGGTAAACAAGTTAATGATAGTTATAATTTTCTTGAAAAGGCAAGGCTAAAATTATGCGTTTTCCCTGTCTGACAAATTTTATACAAGTAGGCGATGAGAAAAAACTCTTAACACTTATCATCTCTCTGGGCTGAAAATTGAATTATTATCTTCAAATAGTTTGATTAAATGACAAGATTATAAATAATTGTGCTAAAGTTTGACACATGAAAATATATGTTTAAAAAAATAACAACATTCAATTTTATGTTCCATCAGAAACAACGGTGGAGCGAGTTTGGTGGAGAGAGTGGGGGGTTGAAAGGTCATTGTCAAAGTCCCATGTACACGGAAGCCATTGTGTCTCCACGTACATCAACAGTTCTTTCTTCTCCGAACTCGAGTGGCATGACGTCATCGACACGTGGCATGCTCCTCTTTGTCGCTTCCCTCCTCGCTTATCTTGATTGCCATTGTTGTATTTTTGTCCTGTTTAAACTTGTTGGGCCAGCAATTTGGGCCTATGTTTGAGCCGTTCATTGGTTAGATGATATCAGTTTGAACTTTTTAAATATCATTTTAAATTTTATTTCTGAAGGTATATATAAAAAAATATTACTTGAAAGATGTCAATTTCTTAAATGATGTTCAGATTTATTAATAAATAAATAATGTTTTTAGAACCAAACTGAATATTGAATCAAAAAGGCTAACGATTCACGATTTGTATGGTCGAAATGGGTTAGACTAATATTGAAACGAATAACGTAATAATTAAATAAAAAAATTATATATATAAATAATAATCTAAATATAAGAATTATGTGCAAAATTTCTACTTAATTGAAAAATAAAATTCAATATTTTAAATTTATCATAACTTAACAAGTCACATGATGCAACATAGCATTAAATGATTTAAAAATTGATCATTTTCTTAAAAAAGAAAAAATTTGTATTTTTTGAACATTTTGATTTTTAAAAACCGGATCTAATTTTAGGTTCAATCACTGATCCAAAGCAACCCAATATCCTAATTGATTTTTTTATGTTGACTGAGCCGAAATTCAATTTAATTGATGGTTTGACCCTCAGTTTGATTTTATAATCATTGTGAATTAGTCTCATAATTGCATATTATAAGAATATATTGGATTAAAAAAAGAAAAAGATACTAGAGACTTTAGTTTAGTGCCAGCTTATTTTGGATCCCGTGATTTCACCTTTCCTGATGAAATACGTGTTAATGACGATATGCATATGCTCATAAAAGAAAGTCATGTACTTTTCCCTCATAAATTAAATTATTCTTTATTTCTTTGGTATAATATATATATATATATATATATCGGATTTTAAATGTTTATCGTGACATACTTCAATCTCACGTCCCAATTGTATACAATATTCTTATCCGTTTGGTCAATATTTATTAACTAAATTGAATTATCAACAGAAAAATGGTCTTCTAGTGCTATAGTGTATGAAAAGACTAGTTAGTTAAGTGCAATGTAATTAACCCCCAAAAAAGAGCCACATAAAGTCAATTCATTCCATTTAAAAGAAGTTAAGTATTGGCATAAAAACTTAGCATAGTGCAACTAACAGGATACAACTTACTAGTTCTCGCAAAACCATTATTTATTTTATTTTGAAAATAATAATTTTTTTTGCCAACAATATGAAATTTTGTTAGAGATTAGGCTGTACTTGGAATTGAGTTCAATCAAATTTTGGCCTAAACTTTTAATTCAAGGCTGGCTTGATATTTAGAGTTAATTAAAACTTTTTCAAATTTTAATAAAGGACTAAAGGTCATCTATATATTGTAATACAAGGGAGATTTTCTTCCTACTCGTTTTAGTTCATACATGTGTATGGATATGTGTGCGGTACACGTACGGCTAATTTGTTTAGTTTCCGAGACAATGTGATCAGCAGCCTGACAATGAAATTATTAACACTTTATCTCAGCTTAAATTTTTTTCAAAATTATTACTTCCCCCAATCCTATATATATAAGATTGTAAAAATATATTTTAAATTTCAAGAGATAAAATTAGTTTAATCAATAAAACATTGTGTCAAAACATCAAACAATTTCTTTTTCTGTATTTGGTCTGAGAGAAGAGGGAGGGAGTGTTTTAATATTACCTTATTTAATTTAAAAGGAAAGAAGAGAAAAATAAATATATATAGATAATTTTACCCTTATATTATTAAAACTTTTTTCTAATAAAATATATAGATTACTTATCATTATTAAATATATTATTAAAAAATCTATCATTACTAAACTTGTTTAAAAAAATAAAGAATAACAATTAAAAGAAACATTGTACAACAAAAAATACCCTTCCCATCTCAATTTAGAGGGGAAGGTTTGGATCCCCTCTACTTTTCCTAACTAAATGAGGAAAGGAAAATAAAATCCTTCCCTTCACCTTCCATCCAACCAAACAAATTCCAACTCAAAATTTTAATAGTGATTCATGACTTGTGTTAAAATTAAAAAAGATGAATAAAAGAATAATTAAGATATTTGGACTTCTCAGATAAATAAGTTCTCATAACAAGAGCGGTTTGGAGCTTAGCCCAGTGGAGCAGAGGCATAGAAAGCCTACAACGGTAGACTAGAAAGGAAGAGAAGAAAGATCGAGAAAGAAAAACAAGAAATGTCGTCTGCTTCTTTCTCTGCAACTGCACAAACTACTCCTTCCCTCTTCTCCATCGGCATTAAGAACCCTCATCTACATCCTCAAGCTCTGGTTGTACCTCCACGTTCTGGTTCTTCTTGTTATGGGGCATCGCTCAGCTACAGCTATAATCCGTTAAGGTATAGAACATTCTAAACACCACGAAATTCTAATCATGATTAAGAAAGTATCTGAGTCGTTTGATTTCTAATCTGATTCTGTTGGGGTGTAGATCTTTTATTGAGTGCAATGGAAGGATAGTGAAGTCAAGGAGAAGAAGAGGGTCCACTGCGGTTTGCTATGCTGCTCCTCTCACTGCTCGCAATCTCCAGTTGATCTCGACTATTTCTTCTGTGTCAGTTACTTTCCCTCACTTAAATCTATACGAGTGTGTGTATCTGCTTATACATATATGTATGTAAATCGAGAAGCACCGAATCAACTCCAGATTTGGGGCAAAATTTTCTGAATTTAGTGTAGCTACAGTCACAAATAATGTATTGTAATATAATTTGGTTCTCAATCGTAACTCACAAGTGGTTGTTGGAGACGGAGAATAAAAACCGCAAAACAGGAGTGTATGAACTCAGTGGATAACTCAAAATGCAATCCAAGATGATGAAAAGGTTCCCTTTGGATGAAAACTAGGAATAGTATTAGTTCATAGTACCTATGAATCTGAAATGTTATTTTCGAACATGGAAGCAGAAAATCAGCAGGCTTTCTTTTACTTTTTTGTTTTATGTTTTATTTTTTTGTTTTCCCAAATACCAGTCACAGAAATCAGAGTTAATCTGTTTACGTGTTTTTAACTTACGATTTTTTGACAGAATTTGGTTTTGAAATGAAGGGGATTGATTTAGTTCTTAGGCGCCACAAGTCAATTGCAGATCAATATACTAATTGTCACTCCGTTTCTGTTACTTTTTATCTTTTGCTTTCCTTAACAAATAAAAAATAAAATATGGGTGATGAATATTTAGAATCTTTCAGGGTTTTAATACTGGCTAAAGGCACTGGCGTGCAGAAATCATTCGTTGTTCCATTATTTGTCTTGCAAGCTCCTGCAAGTATCGTTGCTTGGATGCAGTAAGTTTTTCCCCTCCCTTCGCTGAGCATTTTTTGTGTTCCCTGCTCAACCTAAAATATTCTGACATCAACAGATTATATCAATTCTTAATTTCTTTCTCAATTCATTTGATACACATTGGGTTTTCAGGGGTAAATATGGTCTATGGTCCGCATTCCTAGCACTCCTGGTTCGTCTCTTCTTTTATATACCCGGTAGGTTCTCTTATCGGCTTCTTATATATCTTATAGTCATATGTATAAGCTAGTAGAATGAAATTTAGCAAATCTAGAGGGAGTAACAATAGATTTTAACTTAGAGACACCCCAAACACCACAACTTCCATTGGAATTGATGGAAATCAGTTCATTATTTTAGAAACCTCAGGATGGGTTTATATCTTCTTTCTCCATAATACTTTTTTATTTTGTCCCTTATTACACTCCTGCAAATAAATTGAAGGATGATACATAGAAGTTCTTCTGCTATATCTAATCTATTTTTAGGTGAACTTGAGTTGCCTTTTGTGGCATTGCTCTTGGTAATCGTGGCTCCATATGAAGTTATGAAATTGAGGTAAGTAAATTCATCACTTTGAGACTCTTGGGGCCATTAAGCCATCTACATTTTTTAACTTGTTTACGTTGTCAGGGGAACACAAGAAGGAGCTATAATTTCATTGTTGATTGCGGGTTATTTGGCTTTCCAGCATTTTTCAAGAGCAAGCTTGCAGAAAGCATTTGACCAAGGTTCAATTGTCGCCACCTTAGCTGTCATTTGTATCACTGTTTCTTCTTTGTGGCTTCTGATCTGAAATGACTGTAAAATAGTGAATTGTAATAGAAATATGTCCGAGTGGCATAGCTGTGGAAAGGATAGTGAATAAATGCCCATCGTTGTTCTTTGTAATGTAATAATTCTTACTAGTTTTGGACTCTATTGTTGACAACAAAGCCATACACATTTTCATTACTCTTCAAGATTTAATGTTAAGCTTAACAGCTGTTTGTAACTTGCTACACTAATTTGTACTGCTTTAGTACTTTTTATTTGAAATCTAGTGCACACTGTTCTAGTGCTCTCTGAACTCTAGCCTTCCTATTTGTTAAGATTGTAATCTTTCTTAGTGGATGTTACGTTGAGTATATTACTTGATAGTGGAAATGTTCTTGAAAAGTATGATGAGATGAATCAGTATTGCATTTTGACTGTAAGTTAAACATTCGTTTCCGCAGATAAACACTCCAGAGAGAGGGAACGTATAGAATCATTACCAGCAGCACAAACTGTTATCTGTTATATTTAAATTTTCGGTTTCTCCGTGCAAGTTTTCATTATTGGCAGGTGAAAACTATCCTCATCAAATCATGTTTATACAACGCACAATGATGTGGTTCCATAACATGTTTATATATTACTGCTGTGGGTGAGTTATAAGTTGTTTGGATTTCAATTGGGTATAATTGATTATGAAAAAAATTAATTAATATAATTGATTTGGAATATAATTGATTATGTTATGTGGTATGTAATTGATTTATAAAATTAATTAATGAGATTGATTTTAATCAGAATTGGAAGTAGAACTAAAAAGCAGAATTGAAAATAAGGGAAACTCATAGTTTTGTAAAAATATATTGAAACACTCATATTATATGTTAAAATTAATTATGAATTTAAAATTATGTTTTCAAAAAAATATTTAGATACCCATTATACATGTTAAAATTAATTTTGAACTCAACCATGTCTTTTTTTTTAAAATATCCAAACACCCCATACATGTCATAATCAATTATGAATTCAAAATCATGGTTATCTCATGAGCTACTAATACTTGCTTTTCAATTCAATTTTTCAATTATACATTTCTTAAAATTTATGCAAAAATCATATAAATTATATTACAAGTCATATTTTTTTAGTTCATAATTAGTTATATACCACATAATTGATTTTAACATATGTAATGAGTGTTTGTATACTTTTTTGAAAACATGGTTTTTAATTCATAATTGATTTTGACATGTATAATGGGTGTTTGGATATTTTTTTGAAAACATGTTTTTAAATTCATAATTGATTTTAACATGAAACATGAGTGTTTGGATAATTTTTGTCAAAACATGGTTTCTATACAATTAATTGATTCTTAACTTAAATCCAAACAGGCACTTAGATTCCTTGGAAGTAGTCTTCTCTTCATCCTCGTTCTCAATTACGGTCTTGTTTTAGACTGATTGCTCAATAATTCCTTCAAAGTGGCTCTCGGCTCTATAAATAATTATGTTCTAGCCAATATAAGCTTCAGACTTTCTCAATGGAAGAAAGATTCCAAGAGAAAACAGACTGTCTAATACTTTATTATTGTGCTAATAACATTGAAAATCTGTGTACATGACCTACAATTTTTTGCTCTGCTACTTTTTGGGGCTTTGTGATCAACTAACGGACATATATAGCTGAAAGGCAGTACTAATTTAAATGGCAAGACTTCAAATAACAAATATGGAATTATTGACCTTCTGCCTCCTCGAAGTCTCAAGAAAGTGCTGGCACACCACGTGAATCCCAGCTCCATTCCAAAAGAGTGACTGAACCTTGTATATGGTCTCTATATATTTGCAGTGAGGAGCGAAGCCCAGAGGCTGTACATGGTGAACATCAGCGGCAATGAATAAGAGGGAGATGTGGCTAAGCTGGGGCTTTGTGTTGGTTCTGAGCCATAGATTGTTGATCCACGAGGTATTGTCAAACTTGGAGGAGTTGTAGTCATTGGACTTGATTGATTCAGTGGGCTTTGATTTGTTGGTGGACTCGTGCTGCATGCACGATATACGTTAGGATGTGGAGTACAGTGATCTATCTTCATTTGTATAGCATTATAATATGAACAAGATAATGTGGCTAAGAATTCTCACCTTTGTGATTTGGGTGATGCATAGCGGCAGTTCCCAGTACCTGCAATAATGTCAATAATGTTATTTTGTAGTTCAAGATAGTGAAGCTCAAATAACAATCATGATCTTGGATGTTTTATGTTGACTATCTAATCCAGTGCGAAATAAATAAAATTAGTGAAGCCCATAATCACTATACTGAAAAAATAATGACGTGCATGTGTATCAATTTGGTGAAGAGTGAGCAAGCTAAGGCGACCTAGGAATTTGTGAGGAAACTCATCAGTTACTGAAGGGGGCATTTGGTGGAGACTGGGGCCAGACCTTCGTTAGCTATACTGAAGAGATTTATTTGTGGAGTTGGTCTAGAGGGATATTGTTTATTCTGTTCCATACTAAATTCAAGATTGTATGGGGGGAAAGAAAATAAAGTAATGCCGTGAGAAGTTTTGATGACTTTTATTCTTGACATCCCCATTTCTAAAGACAAGAACAAATTGCTAATTTGAATTTCTTCATTGCAGTCTTGAGTTTCAACAATAAAATCATCTCAAGGATGTTGTGAATAGGACTTTTGTATGATTAAACTCTTACTTGGGTCATTGTTCGTAAGCTGTGCTATTCCTCCAAATGAACAGCTTGTAGGTGCTGGATTCTTCTGGTAATAGGCATTGAATGCATAAGAAGCATGGTCACGGACGGTGTTTGGATTATAACAACTTGCCCCTGCTTGAATGGCCGAACAATCAGCACCTCCATAGCCACAAGCAAAGTCAAGAGCCACTTGCAGGGCAGTTTCTGAAGCTGTTTGGCTTGCAACACACCATTGACCGCCTGATGATGTGGGACTGGTTGTGGTTGTTGGAGTTGAGATTGGGTTGACCGGAGGTGCAGTTGGGTTGGCCGGAGGTGCGGTTGGGTTAGCCGGAGGGGCAGTTGGAGATTGCCATGGGTGAGTCTGGGGTTATGGGGGTCATGTATGGTGGTGCTGTTGGGATTGCCATGGGTGAGTCTGGGGTTATGGGGGTCATGTATGGTGGTGCTGTTGGGGTTTGCCATGTTGTGTCTGGTGTTTGAGGTGATGTTGGGTTTGCCATAGGAGATGGATTTGCAGTGCCTGGAGTTGTTGGATTGACAACAGGAACTCCATCTAACTGAGTTTCTAATTCAGATGATGAGAACATTTCCTGGTTTTCTTCATCTCCTAATATTCTGGCTGTGCCTGTTCCTGGAAAAGAAACCAAGATTCTTTACTTTCCTAGTAATAAAAACTTTGAAGATTGAAAATATTGATAGTGAACTTATATGAATAGACTGAAAACTCTGTTTCTGCTCAAAAGAGGCCAAACAGTGATGAACTAAATCATGGATTTGGATTTGATACAAGGAATAGTTTTTGTGATGCATATAAGAGCTATATATACCATTGCTAGAGCTAATATTAATTCATCCTTTTGGCACTTTATTGATTTCATGTTGGAGTGGCACGCTACAACAGAAGTGCTAGACATCACCATCCATGCCTAGAATTTAACTTTGTTTCCCATCTGCTATTAGTTATTCTGCCTACAGCTATAGAACTCTTCATGCGTCAGCAAAATATCTTTCTGATATACTATTTGATTTTGTCATTCATGTATGGAGGAGATTCACTGCATTTCTGTTCTTTATTAATGACCAGCCTCTGCATCTTGAATATGCTTGCAATGTAAGCTCTATTTCTTGATGCTGCTAAATCAATGCTTGAAGCTAAGAGGGCAAAACAGATATCTGAGCTTATAAGTGTTCAACACAAACTATATCACCTGAACTTAATAAGAGACAGAAGGTGAGCAGGGTAAGGTGCCAAAGACTCCTAGCACCCATCTCTGCAGGTTGGCTTCTATGCTTGATTTGCAGTGTTCTTGGTTTGGATCAATGTTAGAGGAGCTAAGATACAAAAAACAAGAGAAGAATGGGATTGGTGTGAAGAATTTTGTCTCTGCATTTTTTCATCTTATATATAAATTAAATACATGAAGAATCATAGCTTTCTTGGATCCAGGAGAGAAGGAAGAATATGAGAAAACTTGAGAAAGGAGGAATCGGGTAGCTGAAATTAGCAAGCAAGGGAAGGTGCAGAATGAGGCAAAAAGGTGCTTGGCGAAGGAAAAAGGCAAAAGGGTGATCTGTTTGGAATTAAAGTCTGATTCTTAGGGATAAAATAAAATAAGTAATTAATAAAACGACCCATAAGATCTTGTAATGTCTTTTCCCTTTTATGCTTCTCTTTTCTACTGTTTTATGGGACTGAACCAAAAGCTAAAGCCTGTAGATTGTGGTGATGTACTTTGTTGCCTTTTAGGGTCTGTAATGAAGAATGTTGTCTCCCTAGTATTCTTGTACATTTACGTGTCTCGACAAAGTACACCCACCATTTTCTTTTTGTTTTTATTTTTTTTTTAATAAATACTGATACTTCCTCTGGAATGTTTACGATTCCTTTTCAGGGAAATCTCCAATTATCCGATACTGTCTAGTGTCTTCTCCCTTAAGAAGTTGGCTCAGATTCTTTATTTTTAAGCTACCTCGTTATCGTCATTGTGTTTCTGGTATTACGTAGATTTAATTATATTTGATAGGTATCTCTAACCATTTTATCTTGAGAAACTTGTAGATTAAGATTGGAACGAAATCATTCTGATTAAATGGCAAAAAGAAACTGGAAAATAATAAATTTATGATTTCTTGATCTGATATCAATTTGATGTATATGAATTGGGTTTTATTTGAGCTTATTACTTTGGGGAGCGAATTGTTATGGAATCATTACTCTCTTTTTAAAAAGTTAATCCAATAAGATATAGAGTCGAGAATAATAGTTGAGTTTGTAGGTCTTCTTTAAATGAGTGTTTGGGCTTCAAAAATTATTTTTTTAAAAGAATCGAGCTTGAGGGCCTGGCCTTAATAAGTCCTGTGGAAAAGGGCTCAGGCCTAGGCGGCCTTCCAATCCTTGATAAGCTTATTTATCTTATATATATATGCATACATATATATATTTGATTGATAATGACACAATTTGGTTAATATTCATTGTAGGTGATGAAAAAGAAGTTGTAAAGGTAATTAATATTGAATCTCCATCTCCATCTTCAATAAATGCACTTACATTTGAAGGACCTAATGTTTTATTTGTAGATGATCAAGATGAGGAAGATTTGAGTTTTGATTGATGAATGTGTGTTGTTTAGATTTCTAAATATGTTGTTTAATTTTTAAAATATTGTGATGATTTTAATTTTTTTAAATTTTAAAATATTTTAATTAATTTATAATGTTTAATTTTATTTTAATTTTTTTAATTTTTAGAATAGGACTTTCGAATCTGGCCCTAAGCTTTTTACATAAGAGTTGGGTTTCAAAAAAGGAGTTAAAAATGGATAACCGAGCTCAAGGGCCTTGGCCTTTAAGGGTTAGGCCCATAAGGATCGAGCCCTTAAGGGCCAGGTTTGCCTATATTTCCAATTATATTAGGACATGTAATATGAAACATAACATATCTCCAACCAATTTGTGGGACATAATAGCTCCCTTGGCCAATTTGGAGCTAATATGACTATCATATGGCCATTATTCTCTCTAAAAATTTAATCTAGTGAAGTGTGTAGCATTCATTTATAGAGTTAGAACCTTCTCGGCATCACAAGTGACCCAATAAAAGGGCTCTAATATCATTTTGTGATGAGGCCATTATTCTTTCTCCAATAGGTTAACCTAATGTGGTGTGCAATACAACTGCTTATATAATGAAAACCCTCCTCTCAATGTAACAATTCTCTTGACCAATTCGTGGCGAGTAACCCAACGTGTGATGGGGCCAGGATGCCTATGTTATGAGTGGCCCACCAAATGATTAATTCATCATTAAGGTCATTATTTTCTCCCAAAAGAGAACCGGCTTATATAATCAAAATATTCCTCAAGTCATAATACAATAATCCCTTATATGGAAATGTTGATTAAAATAAGATTTCAGAATATTCCAAGAAATTTATTTAAAAACAACTAGAACATCTTCTGATGACAGAAACAAAAGCAAACTAAAATTAAAGAAAAGTAAATTTAAATTTGCTCTTTGCTTGAATTTTCTTCTCAAAACAGACGCGCCTTCTTTTTAATTCTCTCTTCAAAGCGAGAGAGAGAGAAGCCGATGCTTATCGTTCCTTCTTAAAATGATACATAGCCGTCTCTGCCAAGCGCTTTGTTTCTTGTAGCATCTCAAGCTCTTTCTTGAAGTATTCATTATATCTTTCAAGAGTTGAAGTATCAGGCTGCTTTTCATAATTAATCATATAAAGCCTCCATTGCTTGATCATGCTTCTTCTCATGATACGTAGCAGACGTTGAGTGGTAGTTTATCTCATCATTAATTTCAATTTCTAAATCCCTATCTTCCAAAGTTTTGCTCTGCCTATATTGTGCATCAAAATTCCAACGCCGTCCCCAAAAAATAAGCCATGTCTGCTTCGCTATACTCACCATAGATAGTCTCTAGCTCTTCATGCAACTCTTCATTCCTTCTCCTCTTCCTCCTTACTTCTTCATACAACGCTTCCATCTTCGGAAAAGTCACAATAATTAATCAGATAAAAGGATATTTTTGATTTTTGAATGTGACACTTCCCTCAAGTAGAATAGCATGCTCCTATTTATAGATCATTTTAACCAATTTTTGTAAATTTTCAAATCATGGGATCCGTTTGTTTTGGCTTATTTAATTAAAAAATCACTTTTTTTATAAAAAATTTATTGTGTGAGTTCTTATTATATTTGTTTAAACTTTAAGAAGTTATTAATGTTATAATGTTTTAACAAAGCGGGATACATAAAAATATTATAAAATATTAAAATAATAAAATAATAAATTATTTTTATAAAACAAAAATGGTTAAAATATATTTTTAGTCCATTGACTTTATATAAATTTTTTATTTGATTATTTAATTTTGTAAATTATTTTTTTAATCCTTTAACTCTAATATCATTAGTTTTAAATGATTATTTTTTGTGTCAATTATTGTATTTTAAAAAAATAAATTTAATATGTTAATATTTGATAATGTTTTGTTAATATTTGAAAGTTTAATGTAAAAAATTATTAGAATAAAATTAACAGTATTAGAAATAAAGGACTAAAAATATACTTTATAAAGTTAAGAAATTAAAATGAAATATTGTGTAAAGTTAAAGGACTAAATCTACACTTTAGCTTATAAGATATCATAAAATTTAAAAATAACTAATTAATAATCACTTTTTAATTATTGTAACTAAATATAAAATAATCTCTGTGTTAATAAAATCTCTATAAAATAAATTTTTTTTATAAAATCTTTAAACTATCTAAAAATCGTTTATTTTTAACTTAAACAAACGGCCTATGATTTTATCTTATTTTTAAATCAAGTAAATTTGAGATGACGTGGTTATTCAAAGATAATGAATGACAGGTATCTTTTTGTTTTTTCAAACTATATTTCAATTTGTTTTAATATCTCTCATTTGAATTTAAAATTTAAAAATAAATTTAAAAGAAACACTACTAGCCTCAACCTTCCTATAAATAATTATTGTTTTTTTAATAAAAAAACAACTAACTTATAAGGGAAAAATTGTTAAATAAAAGCATGAATATTAAAAAATAATAATAAATTCATGAGCACGCTCCTTTACTTGAAAAAATATTTTAAAAATCCAAAGACAAAGAGTGTTGAAGTGTCTAGGGTAAGAATCTTCTTCTAATTTAATTCTTTTCCACTTCATCTTGTTAAAATTCTATGAGATAAAGCAAATCATTTTTCGTTGAGCAATTTAAGTGATTATTATTATTTGAAATCAAAGCTTTGCTAATTATCTTAAAAACTGTCATTGAGCTTGTGACAAGTATCAATATATCCAACATAGTCAGTAATTAAGGAGATAAGG